CCTTCGTTCTGATTAACAGCTATCTCCACCAAAAAAAAATATCACCCCAGTCTACACATGTTGATAGATCAGGCTGGCTTGAGATTTCCCCTTTGTCTCACCGGCCACATGGCATTTCCTTTGTTCACTCCTTTCCCAGATTCCTTTGTGCTCCCTCATCCCGCCTCCATCTCTCCTGATTGGCTGTTGCCACCAGGTGGTAGAGGTCTCCCCATTGGTTCCTGTGGACCACTGGAGCTTCCTGACTGGTCCAGAGGCACCGGGGGCAGGGAACAACAGAGAAGCCAGGGCGGGGAGTTTGAACTCTGCAACTTTGAATTTGCTATAAATATGCCTCTGATCAATGTATTGGTATGCTTGTGGGTGAGCTATCCCCGCATTTGCATCCGACTCAGCTGAATCGCTCATTAAACCTCGATGCCTCTTCTTCGCCTTGGCAAGAGTCTCATTTCAATTATTAATATTAATAAACTTGCTGGAATCAGGCTTCTCTGATGGCTCGCCAAGGTCATAGACCCTCTTTGATGTGGTCCTAGGGGTCTCTCTTACTGGGGAGACCTTCCTAAAGTCCGTATTGACTTCATTGGCAGTGACATCTCCGGCCCATCCTCTGTTTGGATATCAGCCAGCACACCAACGACTTAAATCAAGAAATAGTTTTCTAAGATCTACAGAGACACTTGCTGGAACACCTCAGCAAACGAGAGTCCAAAAGCGGCAGGCTCAAACCCAGAACCTCAATCAATGGCTGATACCAAATGAGAGACTCCCCCTTGGCACACAGAAAACTGGGCAACTTGGAAGGCGCTGAACAGACACCTGGCACCACGAGATGCAGAGCCAACCTTAGGAAATGGGGCTACAAAGTGGAATCCACGACATGCGAGTGTGGAGAGCAAACCACTGACCACCTGCTGCAATGCAACCTGAGCCCTGCCACATGCACAATGGAGGACCTCCTTGTGGCAACACCAGAGGCACTCCAAGTGGCCAGATACTGCTCAAAGGACATTTAATCAACTACCAAGCTTGCAAACTCTGTTGTCCGTTTGTTAAAATTTTGTTAAAAATGTAATACAATTGTCTGGTTGATACTGACACGATAAATATAAATTGGTCTGTTAGGAGTGTTGTGTCCAAATTTCATGTAATTTCAGTCCAGTGGTTTTTGAGTTATGTTAATCCCACAAACGAACATTACATTTTTATTTATATAGATGCAATGCTTTTGACACGAAATAAAATCCTGCCATTTGCAACTTCCCCCGTTTCTGACCAACTACACCTGAAAAAAGTAAACATTAAAAAAAACTAAAGACCTCTCCTTTTCGAAGCAATTTCAAATGGCAGGAATCTTTTTTTCCCCAGAGATGGTCACTTTACAGCAAGGAGAAGAAACCCAAATTCTCAGTTTTTCATTGGTTTCCAGCCTTTCCCGCCCCCTGCCCTGTTCTTCAGCTGTGAAAGCTTTTAGAGTGGCTTACATAAAACCCATTAAGGTAATAAGAAATCATTAAAATGGTCAGAAAAAAGGCACACGAACTTTACGCAGCTTCTTCAAAGGGCGTAACCAGCTGCAAAAAGAGAGCCGCTTGACACAAACTGAACTGCAATGGGTTTCTCTTATGGAAACCTGGGATTTAGAGTTTAGTAAACTACAAATCCTAGACATTCTTAGGGTTGGAATTGTAGCAGTCAAATTGGTATTGAAGATCGGATACATCCAAAAAGAGTTGTACAAGGGTTATCCGGAAAGTAAGGTTCCAAGGCACGTAATGGGGAATTTTCACAGGGAAAGTTGGTATCACTGCCATATAGTGGGAAGCCAGCAGAAGCAAGTGAGCAGTGCCAGTCGTCAGTAGCTCATCGACTGGCATTGTGAGGAAGGTTAGAGATGAGCGTCCTCATTCCATTTCCCTCCAAGTGCAAACTTCGCACTGTAATATGCTACCTAAATACTAAGGGCATGAACGCCACTGCAATTCATCGCAAAATCATTGCAGTTTATGGAGAGTCAAATCAAATCAAATCATTTACTTCGGTCATTGACCAGAACAGGAAATAGAGTCACATTTTCATACAAACTTGGTATGTTTGGTACATAAAAAATATAAAGCACAATATGGATGAGGGAGCGGAAGGGAAGGGAAAACAGGTTAAAAACATACAATGCCCAGATCCATCACCAAATTGTAGATTCAGAGAAGAAGATTACTAGACACACAGTTAACTTTTCGGACTAGTCATTCCGAAAAGTTTATGGAGAGGACGTAATGTCAAGATGGCATGTGGGAAAATGCATACGGAATATATCGTGAGATCATGAAGAAACTTTGCAGAGCCATCCAAAACAAACGTCGCGTCTGGTGAGGAAGAGAGACAGGGCCTTCTCGGTGGTGGCCCCTCGGTTGGGGAACTCTCTCCCGATGGAGATTAGATCTGCCCCTTCCCTCCTGACCTTCAGAATGCTAGTGAAATCCTGGCTCTGGGACATAGCATTCCCAGAATGATTGGGTAGTTCAGCAATTAGCTAATAACTACTAACCACACTGGCGGATTGAGATGAACGTGATTTTATCTTGGCAACTTGGTTTATGTATTTATTCTGTTGTATTTAACTTTTGGATGTGATTATGTCTTAATTGTATTTGTGTACTAATTTATGCTGTAAGCCAGCCTGAGTCCCTCTATAGAGGTTGAGAAGACCGGGGTATAAAAGTTTTAAATAAATAAATAAATAAATAAGATGTCTCCTTCATGACAACATGCGTCTGCACACTGCTCATGCAACACAAGAGTTGTTGACTTCTTGGGTTGGGATGTTTGAAGCCACCCCTCTCACAGCCCCGATCTCGCACCCAGGGACTCTCATCTTGCGACAAAATGAAAATCGTGTGTAGTTCACGTTTGATCAGCCCTCACACTGCCTTGCCAGAGAAATAAACTATGCCATGCAGATGAACAATAAAGAAGTAGTTTTCTCTTCATAGTTCAGAACAACATATGTGCAATCATGTGATCAGTTACATCAATTCACTTAATTGGAGCCCCCGGTGGCGCAGTGGGTTAAACCCCTGTGCCGGCAGGACTGAAGACCGACAGGTCGCAGGTTCGAATCCGGGGAGAGGTGGATGAGCTCCCTCTATCAGCTCCAGCTCCTCGTGCAGGGACATGAGAGAAGCCTCCCACAAGGATGATAAAAACATCAATTCATCCGGGCATCCCCTGGCAACGCTTGCAGACGGCCAATTCTCTCACACCAGAAGCGACTTGCAGTTTCTCAAGTCACTCCTGACACAACAAAAAAAACTCACTTAATGTCCTTTCATGAGATTTTAAATGGTCTTTATTTGTCCATGTGGAGAAACCTCCCCCCAGCAGCTCATGAAACAAGAGCACACTCCAAACTGCCTCTCTCTGCGCTTCTCCTCAAGCACCCGCATAGCTCAAGCCTGAAAAATGTAACAGTATCCCAAAGTCCCAGGCTCAGCCATGTCCCTGAGCGAAGCTCAACCAATCAGCTTCATGCAATCTTATTTTCCATTTGACACACAGGCACTAACTAATTTCTTGAATGCTCCAACGCATATGTTCACTAAATTGAAGGAACACCTTGGTGGAAAATGCTTTTCCAACAACAACGAGGTGAAAATCAAGGTGACAAACTAGCTGAAAAAGTTGGAGGGAAACTACATCAAAAACACGTCCCATGGATGACAAAATGTATAGAACTGAATGGTGATTATGTGGGAAAATAATGTAATCTGGATGCTAGAAGGCATGATCATCAAGTTTGCAGACGACACCAAATTGGGAGGAATGGCCAATACTCCAGAGGACAGGAGAAAGATTCAAAATGATCTTGACATATTAGAGAGATGGGTCAAAGCTAACAAAATGAAGTTCAACAGGGACAAATGCCAGAGACTCCACTTAGGCAGAAAAAATGAAATGCAAAGATACAGAATGTGGGACGATGCCTGGCTCGAGAGCAGGATGTGCGAAAAAGATTTTGGAGTCCTCGTGGACAACAAGTTAAACATGAGCCAACAATGTGATGTGGCGGCAAAAAAAGCCAATGGGATTTTGGCCTGCATCAATAGGAGTATAGTGTCTAAATCTAGGGAAGTAATGCTACCCCTCTATTCTGCTTTGGTTAGACTACACCCAGAGGCGGCCCTAGGTAATTTTCGACAGTAAGCAAACAGTATTTTGGCGCCCCCCGCCAACCAATTACTGATATATATTTTCTGTTCGTCGTGGGAGTTCTGTGTGCCATATTTGGTTCAATTCCATCATTGGTGGAGTTCAGAATGCTCTTTGATTGTAGGTGAACTATACATCCCAGTAACTACAACTCCCAAATGACAAAATCAATTTCCCCCCAAGAGCGCCTCAAGAGCGCCCCTGGACAAAATCAACTATACTGCAAATGCTTACTTTTCGTAATTTACTTCCCTGGAGAAGTAAAGAAAGCAGGTTCCATCTGAACATGAGGAAAAACTTCCTGACTCTGAGAGCCGTTCAGCAGTGGAACCCGCTGCCCCAGAGTATGGTGGAGGCTCCTTCTTTGGAAGCTTTTAAACAGAGGCTGGATGGCCATCTGTCAGGGGTGATTTGAATGCAATATTCCTGCTTCTTGGCAGAATGGGGTTGGACTGGATGGCCCATGAGGTCTCTTCCAACTCTTTGATTCTATGATTCTATGATTCTATGCTACAATCCATGTAAGTTTTATGAAAATATATTCATTCTTTGAATTTAAAAAAAGTCTTGTAACCTTACTTTCTGGAGAACCCTCGTATTTTCCTCTCTCTTCTTCCTCCCATTCCTAAGCCGGTTGATTCTAACCATCTGCAGGGAAAGATTGGGTAACCAAATTAGGCAAATTGTGATGAATGTGAATGTTGGTGTCCCTGGGTCGGAAAAGGCCCCAAGCCCATCTTTGTCCTCCCCGACTTCTTGCCCTTGGAAAGACCATCCACACACCTCCAAGGCCTGTGTCAGTTAATCCATTTAACAGGGCTTGGTTGTCCATTCCACTCCAAAACAGACCATTTCCCCTTGTCTTCTCCCTTGCAAACCTGTGTGCCTTTCTCTCTCTCTATTGTATCAGTGATCTGTTCTGTGGCGTACAATTCAATTTCCCAATTTTCATTAAGCCAAGAGGGTTTGAGCCAGCGCTTGGCACCCATCTGGGCGGAAGGGCCCGATCCCGTTTGCACGCCCGACAGTGAACGCTCTTTGCCCTCTTTGCCTTCCTGCTCTGGCTTCCCTTACGCATCCTTTTCTCTTCTTTCTTTCCCTTGTGACAGTTTTCGGTGCCGACTGTGAGCTGCACACCGCTTTGCTTGAGAGGTTTCATGGCAGCCAGGGAAAATAACTAGGGTGTCATTGAAAGGAGAAAAAAGGAAGGACAGAAGGAAGGACAGGGGAAGGAAAGAGAGTCGGAAGCCAGTGCTTCTCAGCTGCCCGTTGGCATCGGAAGCATCCCTGGGATTTGAGTCTTGCCATTCCAGGAGTCTGTGCTAAGCTGCCAGCTGATCTTCAGCCGCTCTTTTCTTCGGTCTGTGGATGACGGCTAAATCCGTGGCTCCATGGAGAGGATGGAGAGAACGCTTCTGGTTTTGGCTCTCGTCTTCTTCCTTCAAGGTGAGTGCCTTCTGCTTTGAGGAGGAAAACAAGGCAGGTATTTTGCAGAGGTGCAAAATAGTCCTGACGAGGATTTGTTTAGAAGTTGGTGATGGGTTTAAGTTGGATTCGTATCTTTCGCTTTCTGTCTTCTAATTCAGAAACCAGCCGGTGCAGAAGTGGCTCTCACATCTCTCAAACGAACGAGCCAAGATTTGGGCATTTTTAGACACTGAAGTAGCAAAGAATGGCGTTATTGTTGGAGTCACGACACCCCTTCTCTGCTAATTCTGGAATTACATCTCCAATGTGTTAGAGAACCGATATATACATTACTTTATCGCAGCAACCTGTTAAATGCATTTTAAAGTAGTGCCAAAGGGCATTTCATTTGGCGGTATATATTAGACCAGTGTTTCTCAACTTTCCGAATGCCGCGACCCCTAAACATCGTTCCTCGTGTTGTGGTGACCCCCAACCATAACATTATTTTTGTTCAATGTATTGTTGAAGGCTTTCATGGCCGGAATCACTAGCTTGTTGTATGTTTTTTCGGGCTATATGGCCATGGTCTAGAGGCATTCTCTCCTGACATTTCGCCTGCATCTATGGCAAGCATCTCACGACCTCTGAGGATGCTTGCCATAGATGCAGGCAAAACGTCAGGAGAGAATGCCTCTAGACCATGGCCATATAGCCCGAAAAAACCTACAACAAACCATTATTTTTGTTGCTACTTGAGAAGTGTCATTTTTGCTACTGTTATGAATAGCAATGTAAATATTGGATATACAGATGTGTTTTAATTTTTTGCACTGTTTATTTTATTTTGTTACTTCATGTATTTTGTTGTGATGTAATTTTTCTGTTATTTTGTGTTTAACTTTGCTGTATTATTTTCGGGCTTGGCCTCATGTAAGTTACCCCGAGTCCCCTTTGGGGAGATAGTGGCGGGGTATAAATAAAGATGATGATGATGATTATTATTAGTATGATTATTATTATTTTCAGTCACAGGATCAAATCTGGCACAAATACCCAATACACACAAATTTGAATACTGGTAGGGTTGAGGAGGGGGAATAATTTTGTCATTTGGGATTTACAGTTCACCTACAATCAAAAAGCATTCTGAACTCCACCAAGGATGGAATTGAACCAAACTTGGCACCCAGAACTCCCATGACTAACAGAAAATACGGGAAGGGTTTGGTGGGCATTGACCTTGGGTTTTGGAGTTGTAGTTCACCTATACCCAGAGAGCACTATGGATTCAAACAATGATGGATCTGGACCAAACTTGGCACGGATACTCAATACTCAATATGCCCAAATGCGAACACTGGTGGAGTTTGGGGAAAATAGATCCTGACATTTGGGAGTTGTAGTTGCTAGGATTTATAATTCACCTGCAATCACAGAGTATTTTGAACTCCACAAACGATGGAATTGAACCAATCTTGGCACCCAGAACTCCCATGACCAACAGAAAATATGGAAAGGGTTTGGTGGGCATTGACCTTGGGTTTTGGAGTTGTAGTTCACCTATGCCCAGAGAGCACTATGGACTTAAACAATGATGGATCTGGACCAAACTTGGCACGGATACTAAATACTCAATATGCCCAAATGTGAACATTGGTGGAGTTTGGGGAAAATAGATCTTGACATTTGGGAGTTGTAGTTGTTGGGATTTATAGTTCATCTACAATCAAAGAGCATTCTAAATCCCACCAATGATAGAATTGGACCAAATTTCCCACACAGAACCTATTTTGTGTGTCAGGAGTGACTTCAGAAACTGCAAGTCGCTTCTGGTGTGAGAGCATTGGCCGTCTGCAAGGATGTTTTGATGTTTCACCATCCTTGTGGGAGGCTTCTCTCATAACCTGCTTCCCCGAGTTTTTAATTAGTTTTTAATTAGTTTTTCTTTTAATCACTACATGTAGCCCACCCATTGTCAGTGTGATTGTGTTTATTGTAATTTTATATTGCTATGCATTCACATGTTTTATGTAATTATGATGTTGTTGTTTATTGTCTGCGTTTTCAGTTTGCGTTTTCGGTTTTATTCTGCTGTAATTTGTTGTTTGGGCTTGGCCTCGTGTAAGCCGCCCGGAGTCCCCATCGGGGAGACGGTTGCGGGGTATAAATAAAGATTATTATTATTATTATTATTATTATTATTATTATTATTATTATTATGTCCCCTTTGCATGGGGAGCCGGAGCTGACAGAGGGAGCTCATCTGCGCCCTTCCTGGATTCGAACGTATGACCTGTCAGTCTTCAGTCCTGTCGGCACAAGGATTGAACCCATGGCACCACCGGGAGCTCCAAGATGACCAACAGAAAATACTGTGTATTGTCGAAGGATTTCATGGCCGGAATCACTGGGTTGTTGTACGTTTTTTCGGAATATATGGCCATGTTCTAGAGGCATTCTCTCCTGACGTTTCACCTGCATCTATGGATCTGAAATTTGTATTTGCAAAACTAAGCCAAAGGTCAAATTGGGGAGGTTTTGTATCATTCTCGTTTGGGGCACGCTTATATTTAAATTTCCAACTATTTCAGGAGAAAACAAACTGTGTGTGTGTTGATATTATATGATGTTGTTGTTTACTCGTTCAGTCCTTTCCGACTCTTGGTGACCTCATGAACCAGCCCGCACCAGAGCTCCTGATTATATGGAAGCGAATAGGAAAAGAGAGAAAGGAAACTGCTTTGGGATTTTGAGAAGAGCGAAACCTGGAGATAAAAGATTAGATGTGGAAATAGAAATCATATAAAGTCCCAAAAGCGAATTCCTAGAAGGGAAAACAACTTGTTCTGAGGCTGGCCCTCACCAAAAATTAATCCCCAAGTTTGTGGCATCCTTGAATTGCTTTTTTCCTTCCTTTGATAGTTAAACAGATCATTTGCTACTGATCTTTCACACCCAACTAGTTGCTACTCAGCCTCAAATGCATTTGTGCATATGTTACACATAAAATCGGCACTCCCACCCGGTGGTGCAGCGGGTTAAACCGCTGAGTGGCTGAAGTTGCTGACTGAAAGGTTGGTGGTTCGAATCCAGGAGCAGGGTGAGCTCCCACTGTTAGCCCCAGCTTCTACCACCCAAGCAGTTTGAAAACATGCAAATGTGAGTAGATGAATAGGTACCGCTCTGGCAGTCAGGTGACGGCGCTCCATGCAGTTGTGCCAGCCACATGACCTAGGAGGAACTGCTGAACTTGCTGACCAAAAGGTCGGTGGTTTGAATCTGGGGAGCGGGGTGAGCTCCTACTGTTAGCCCCAGCTTCTCCTGACCAAGCCGTTCCAAAACATGCAAATGTAAGTAGACAAATAGGTACTGCTCCGGCAGGAAGGTGAAGGCGCTCCATTCAATCGTGCCGGTCATATGACCTAGGAGGAACTGCTGAACTTGCTGACCAAAAGGTCGGTGGTTTGTATCTGGGGAGCAAGATGAGCTCCCAGTGTTAGCCCCAGCTTCTGCACCCAAGCAGTTCGAAAACATGCAAATGTAAGTAGATGAATAGGAACTGCTCTGGCAGGAAGGTGATGGCGCTCCATGCAGTCGTGCCAGCCACATGACCTAGGAGGAACTGCTGAACTTGCTGACCAAAAGGTCGGTGGTTTGAATCTGGGGAGCGGGGTGAGCTCCCACTGTTAGCCCCAGCTTCAGCCAACCTAGCAGTTCGAAAACATGCAAATGTGAGTAGATGAATAGGTACCGCTCCGGCAGGAAGGTGATGGCGCTCCATGCAGTCGCGCCGGCCACATGACCTAGGAGGAACTGCTGAACTTGCTGAACAAAAGGTTGGTGGTTTGAATCCAAGGTGTGAGGTGAGCTCCCACAGTTAGCCCCAGCTTCCACCAACCAAGAAGTTCGAAAACATGAAAATGTGCGATCAATAGGTACCACTTTGGTGGGAACTTAATGGCACTCCATGCAGTCCTGCCAGTGGCTACATGACCTTGGAGGTGTCTACGAGCAACGCCGGCTCTTCGGCTTAGAAATGGAGATGAGCACCACGCCCCAGAGCCAGACTTTTACCTTTACTAACACATAAAACAAAAGTGGCACCATCTAAAGAGGACAGATATTGGATGGAAACTTTTTTTTTTTAAAGTTGTCTCAATTGATTATTTTTTTTCCGAAGGAAGTTATTTGAGAAATGAGAGCTTTTTTTATCTAGAAGCAGCCATTTGTTGCTTATGTTGTGCAAATTTTCTTAGCTAATGACAACAGGTCTTCAGTTAACAGAACTATTTAGTGTGATATGCTATAAATATGCTTGGCACATTTCATTTTTGGACAAAAATAAGAGGAGGAAGTGCCACACAAAGATCAAACACTGAAAATGATGAAAGACTGTCGAATTAATGCAACTTGACAGCGCATGAACTGCCATGTCTCAATGCTATGGAATCCTGGGAGATGTAGTTTGCTGACGCACCAGCGCTCTTTGGAATAGAAAGCTAAATGCCATGCAAAAGAACAGCTCCCAGGATTCCTATGCATTGGGACAAGGCAGCTAAGGAGGTGTCAAACTGAATTAATTCCATAGTGTAGACGCACCCTAACTAAAGGAAGTGGGTCTGAAAAGTCTAGAGTTGAGCTTGGAATGTGTCCAGAGGAGGGCGACTAAAATGATCAAGGGTCTGGAGAACAAGCCCTATGAGGAGCGGCTTAAGGAGCTGGGCATGTTTAGCCTGAAGAAGAGAAGGCTGAGAGGAGATATGATAGCCATGTATAAATATGTGAGAGGAAGCCACAGGGAGGAGGGAGCAAGCTTGTTTACTGCTTCCCTGGAAACTAGGACGCAATGGAACAATGGCTTCAAACTACAAGAAAGGAGATTCCATCTGAACATGAGGAAGAACTTCCTGACTGTGAGAACCGTTCAGCAGTGGAACTCTCTGCCCCAGAGTGTGGTGGAGGCTCCTTCTTTGGAAGCTTTTAAACAGGGGCTGGATGGCCATCTGTCAGGGGTGATTTGAATGCAATATTCCTGCTTCTTGGCAGGGGGTTGGACTGGGTGGCCCATGAGGTCTCTTCCAACTCTTTGATTCTATGATTCTATGATTCTATGTTAATTTTCATATTGTGTTGTCAAAGGCTTTCATGGCCAGAATCACTGGGTTGTTGTGAGGTTTCCAGGCTGTATGGCCATGTTCAAGAAGCATTCTCTCCTGACATTTCACCCACATCTATGGCAGGCATCCTCAGAAATTGTGAGGTCTGTTGGAAACTAGGTAACATCAGTGGAATGTCCATGGTGGGATAATTTTTGTCTGCAAGTGTGAATGTTGCAATTGGCCACCTTGATTAGTATTGAATGGCCTTGCAGCTTCAAAGCCTGGCTGCTTCCTGCCAGAGGATCCTTTGTTGGGTGGTGTTAGCTGGCCCTGATTGTTTCCAGTCTGGAATTCCTCTGTTTTCTGACTGTTGTTTTGAAGCTGCAAGGCCATTCAGTGCTAATCAAGGTGGCCAATAACAACATTCACACTTGCCTCCGACAGACAAGAGTTCTTTCTCCCACCTCCCAACAAAGGATTCCCCCAGGCAGGATGCAGCCAGGCTTTGAAGTTGCAAGGCCATTCAATGCTAATCAAGGTGGCCAATAGCAACATTCACACTCGCCTCCGACAGACCTGTGTTCTTTCTCCTACTCTGGACATCATTCCACAGATAATAAAACTCTCTTGATTAGTTTCCAACAGACCTCACAATCTCTGAGGATGCCTGCCATAGGTGCGGGCGAAATGTCAGGAGATAATGCTTCTGGAACATGGCCAGAGAGCCTGGAAAACTTACAGCAACTCAATGATTCCGGCCATGAAAGCCTTCGACAACACAATCAAGGGCCAGATAACACCTCCCAATGAAGGATTCCCCCAGGCAGGAAGCAGCCAGGCTTTGAAGCTGCAAGGCCATTCAGTGCCAATCAAGGCGGTCAATGGCAACATTCACACTTGCCTCCAACAGACAAGAGTTGTGTCTCCCTGGACATCATTCCACAGATATATAAACCTCTCTTGCCCAGTTTCAAACAGATCTCACAACCTTTGAGGATGCCTCCCATAGATGTGGGCAAAACATCAGGAGAGAATGATACTGGGACATGGCCATACAGCCCGGAAAACTTACAGCAACTCAATGATTCCGGCCATGAAAGCCTTCGACAACACAATCAAGGGCCAGATAATACCTCCCAATGAAGTATTCCCCCAGGTAGGAAGCAGCCAGGCTTTGAAGCTGCAATGCCATTCAGTGCCAATCAAGGCGGCCAATGGCAACATTCACACTTGCAGACAAGAATTTTTTCTCCCACCATGAACATTCCACCGATGATGCCTAGTTTCCAACAGATCCCTCAACCTATGAGGATGCCTGCTATAGATGTGGGTGAAATGTCAGGAGAGCATGCTTCTGGAACGTCACCAGACAGTCCAGAAAACTCACAGCAACCCAGTGATTCTGGCCAAGAGTTCTGTCTCCCACCCTGGACATCATTCCACAGATATATACACCCCATTTTCCTACAGACCTCACAACCTCTGAGGATGCCTCACATAGATGTGGGCAAAACATGAGGAGAGAATGATACTGGCACATGGCCATATGGCCTGGGAAACTCACAGCAACACAGTTTCCAGATTTTCAACCATCATATTGATTCTCTTGGTAGGGGATTCTGGGAACCGTAGTCCAAAAAGTCACTCCAAAGTGCTGCTAGTGTGTCACAACACACTCTTAAAACCATCCTTGAGTCATTTACCTACTACAATACAAAGCTTGGATTCACCAATTTTCCTAGTTTCCAACAGACCTCACAACCTCTGAGGATGATTGCCATAGATGCAGGCGAAATGTCAGGAGAGAATGCTTCTAGAACATGGCCATATAGCCCGAAAAACCTACAACAACCCAGTGATTCCAGCCATGAAAGCCTTCGACAATACACCATCTCTCTGTTTCCGTTGCCCAGGTTCTTTGTTTTTTATGACAGCCTTATTACATTTAGTGAGGATAAATGGGAACGCTCGCCCACCCGAGCCACGCATTTTGATTGCTGGCTGACGTTAACCACATTACAGCCTCCTGCAAACTCACGCTGCCTCTTGTGCCGCTCTTCCGTTGCCACATGGGCATTAACAAAAATTAAATTGGCTGCCTTCCTCCCTCCAACGGAATAATGAATCCCAACCTAATTTTTTGATTTCTGGTTTTAATTCGGCGCCTGGTTCATGTGGAAGGGAAAGGCAGAGAAACCCAGTGAGCGAGGCAGCCGCCCCAGAAATGTAATCGCTGGCTAGTTATTTAATTATCCGCAACCATTGTAATCTCAGGCATAAACTTCCCCAAATGAGCAGTGTATGTAATAGATTGAAAGTTACCTTTGCTTGAGGAGGGGAAAAGTCAGCTGTGTTTCTAATGGGTTTTCAAAGCTATTTTGCATTTTTATTAGAAATAGATCAGGCATGGACAAACTCCGGCCCTTCAGGTGATTTGGACTCCAACTCCCACCATTACCACCACCATTCCTAACAGCCTCAGTCCTTTCCTTTTCCCCCTCGGCAGCCTCAGTCCCTTTCCTTTTCCACCTTGGCACCCTCGGTCACTTTCCTTTTTCCCCTCAGTAGCCTCAGTCCCTTTCCTTTCCCCTCTCTGCAGCCTCAGTCCTTTTCCTTTTCCCCCTCAACAGCCTCGGTCCCTTTCCTTTCCCCCTCTGCAGCCTCAGTCCCTTTCCTTTCCCCCCTCGGCAGCCTTCGTCCCTTTCCTTTTCCCCCTCGGCAGCCTCAGTCCCTTTCCTTTCCCCCCTCGGCAGCCTCAGTCCCTTTCCTTTTCCCCCTCGGCAGCCTCAGTCCCTTTCCTTTTCCCCCTTGGCACCCTCAGTCCCTTTCCTTTTCCCCCTCGGCAGCGTCAGTCCCTTTCTTTTTCCCACTCGGCACCCTCAGGCCCTTTCCTTTTCCCCCTCGGCAGCCTCGGTCCCTTTCCTTTCCCCCCTTGGCACCCTCAGGCCCTTTCCTTTTCCCCCTCGGTAGCCTCGGTCCCTTTCCTTTTCCCACTCCGCACCCTCAGGCCCTTTCCTTTTTCCCCTCGGCAGCCTCAGTCCCTTTCCTTTTCCCCCTTGCAGCCTCAGTCCCTTTCCTTTTCCCCTTGGCAGCCTCAGTCCCTTTCCTTTTCCCCCTTTACAGCCTCAGTCCCTTTCCTTTTTCCCCTCGGCAGCCTCAGTCCCTTTCCTTTTCTCCCGGTAGCCTCAGTCCCTTTCCTTTTCTCCCTCGGCAGCGTCGGTCCCTTTCCTTTTCCCCCTCAGTAGCCTCAGTCCCTTTCCTTTTCCCCCTCGGTAGCCTCAGTCCCTTTCCTTTTCTCCCTCGGCAGCGTCGGTCCCTTTCCTTTTCCCCCTCAGTAGCCTCAGTCCCTTTCCTTTTCCCCCTCGGTAGCCTCAGTCCCTTTCCTTTTCTCCCTCGGCAGCGTCGGTCCCTTTCCTTTTCCCCCTCAGTAGCCTCAGTCCCTTTCCTTTTCCCCCTCGGTAGCCTCAGTCCCTTTCCTTTTCTCCCTCGGCAGCGTCGGTCCCTTTCCTTTTCCCCCTCAGTAGCCTCAGTCCCTTTCCTTTTCCCCCTCGGCAGCCTCAGTCCCTTTCCTTTTCCCCCTCGGCAGCCTCAGTCCCTTTCCTTTTCCCCCTCGGCAGCCTCAGTCCCTTTCCTTTTCCCCCTCGGCAGCCTCAGTCCCTTTCCTTTTCCCCCTCGGCAGCCTCAGTCCCTTTCCTTTTCCCCCTCGGCAGCCTCAGTCCCTTTCCTTTTCCCCCTCGGCAGCCTCAGTCCCTTTCCTTTTCCCCCTCGGCAGCCTCAGTCCCTTTCCTTTTCCACTGCTGAGGGGGAAAAGGAAGGGGCCTGAGGCTGTTAGGAATGGTGGGAGTTGGAGTCCAAAACACCTGGAGGGAAGGCTCAACTTTGCCCATGCCTGGGATAAACCAATAGCTTGCATTCCTAGAATATTTCAGAATCCCAGGTCAAAATGCTGGGAGGTTGAGCTGTATCATCTCATCCACCTTTGTCATTTTTTTATATAGGCTGTAATTGCTCCAAAGGTGAGCACCAGCTCTATACGGAATTGTTCGCCAATTATAACAACATCATCCGACCGGTGGCCAACGTATCCGACCCGGTCATAATTTGGTTCGAGGTATCCCTCTCGCAGCTGGTCAAAGTGGTGAGTAGACCAAAAGCTGACACTATTGTCTTCTTCTAACAAAACCGTACCAAAAATTGTCTTCCTTTTTTTCCTCCTCCCAGGATGAAGTCAACCAGATTATGGAAACCAATTTATGGCTGAAACATGTAAGTATCACAAAAGAGGGGAAGAGTTCTTAGGCTTTAAGATAATCTTACCCTTCCTAGGTTTTGGTTTTTGTCTGTGTCATGAGCAACTTGAGAAACTGCAAGTTGCTTCTGGTATGAGAGAATTGGCCGTCTGCAAGGACGTTGCCCAGGGAATGCACAGATGTTTTACCATCCTGTGGGAAGATTTTTTCATGTCCCCGCATGGGAAGCTGGGACTGACAGGCAGGAGCTCACCCCACTCCCCAGATTCAAACCGCTGACCTTTCAGTCAGCAGTCCTGCCAGCACAAGGCTGCAACCCATTGTAACCATCGCCAAGTTGGTTCAGGCAAAGACAAGCTGATGTGGCCTATCCTTGTCTGTGTTTCCACATTAAAAACTTTGCCTTCTTGGACATGTTTGCAGCTTGTTTAGTCATTAGGCATGTGCAATCCATGGTTCTAAAGTACTTACAAATCTAAAGTTCTGGTGGTGAAAACTAGGAGGCACTGGTAATTTGCTTCTACAGTGTTGCTAAAGTTCTGGTGGAACTTTAGCAAGTTCTGGTGAAAGTTCTGGTGGAACTTTAGCAAGTTCTGGTGGAAGTTCTGGTGGAACTTTAGCAAGTTCTGGTGGAAGTTCTGGTGGAACTTTAGCAAGTTCTGATGGAAGTTCTGGTGGAACTTTAGCAAGTTCTGGTTGAAGTTCTGGTGGGACTTTAGTAAGTTTTGGTGGAACTTTAGCAAGTTCTGGTGGAAGTTCTGGTGGAACTTAAGCAAGTTCTGATGGAAGTTCTGGTGGAACTTAAGCAAGTTCTGGTGGAAGTTCTGCTGGAACTTTAGCAAGTTCTGGTGGAACTTCTGGTGGAACTTTAGCAAGTTCTGGTGGAACTTTAGCAAGTTCTGGTGGAAGTTCTGATGGAACTTTAGCAAGTTCTGGTGGAACTTCTGGTGGAACTTTAGCAAGTTCTGCTGGAACTTTAGCAAGTTCTGGTGGAAGTTCTGGTGGAACTTTAGCAAGTTCTGGTGGAACTTTAGCAAGTTCTGGTGGAAGTTCTGGTGGAACTTTAGCAAGTTCTGGTGGAACTTTAGCAAATTCTGGTGGAAGTTTAGCAAGTTCTGGTGGAACTTTAGCAAATTCTGGTGGAAGTTTAGCAAGTTCTGGTGGAACTTTAGGAACTGCCATTTATTTCATTATAAATGGCAGTTCCTAATTGGTTCTGTCATAAAAATCATCAATAATGAAATAATAATGAAATTTTGAAAGTTTTGTTAGAGTTCTGACATTTTCACCAACAGAGCTTTAGCAACACTGTAGAAGCAAAGCACCAGCACCTCCTAGTTTTCACCACCAGAACTTTAGTTTTGTAAATACTTTAGAACCATTTCGAAGCATGGATCGCACATGCCTATTAGTCATATATATGCTGGTTTTCATATGTGAAAGATTGAAGGTTTCTATAAAGTAGAATTGTGCCTAAATACCCTAAAAGCACCAGATCTTGTCTGATCTTGGATATTAGGACAGATGTGAAGCCAAGCTCTGGGATGAAGAGAATAGTAACAGCAGCCAAGTTCAACTCCTAAAAAGCAGCAGATGCAGATCGTGAAGTCAGGCATCACATTTGTAATGTCCTTCTGACATCTAGTGGTCGTTTCCCTTGTCTGCATGTGGTTAAATCAGTGTTTCTCCACCTTCCTAATGCCTTGACCCCTTAAGACAGTTCCTCATGTTGTGGTGACCCCCAACCATAACATGATTTGCCTTGCGACTACAAAACTGTCATTTGGCTACTGTTATGAATAGTAATGTAAATATTTGATATGAAGGAAGTATTTTCATTACTGGACCAAATTTGGCACAAATATCCAATATGCCCAAATTTGAATACCGGTGGGGTGGGGGTGGGGGATTGATTTTGTCATTTGGGAGTTGTAGTTGCTGGGATTTATAGTTCACCTACAATCAAAGAACATTCAGAACTCCACCAATGATGGAATTGAACCAAACTTGGCACACAGAACTCCCAAGACCAACAAAAAATACTGGAAGGGTATTGTGGGCATTGACCTTGAGTTTTGGAGTTGTAGTTCACCTACATCCAGAGAGCACTGTGGACTCAAACAGTGAGGATCTGGACCAAACTTGGCATGAATACTCAATATGCCCAAATGTGAACACTGATGGAGTTTGGGGAAAATAGACCTTATTATTTGGGAGTTGTAGTTGCTGGGATTTACAGTTCACCTATAATCAAAGAGCATTCTGAATCTCACCAACATTAGAATTGGGCCAAACTTCCCACACAGAACCTGCATGCCTTGAAGGGACTAGCTGGTGTGAGCCTCCCTCCAGCCTTGCACACTCTCCCTCGCCCACACATGCACACCATGCTGCCGTGCGCTGAGCCCACCTGCTATCCCCTCCCTGCTTGAAGTCTCAGAAATAGCCCTCCCCTTGGCTGAGAGGCCGGCTAATCACAGCGGAGGAGGGCTTTTGGTGGGAGGATTCACTATCTGTTTCCAAAAAAGAAGAGAAGGGACACTGGTGGAGTTTGGGGGAAATAGACCTTGTCATTTGGGAGTTGTAGTAGCTGGGATTTATACACTCAATGAGCATTCTGAACCTCACCAATGATAGAATTGGGTCAAACTTCCCACACAGAACCCCCAGGACCAACAGAAAAGTCTGTGTTTTCCGATGGACTTTGGTGACCCCTCTGACACTCCCTTGCAACCCCCCAGGGGTCCCAACCCCCAGGTTGAGAAACACTGATTTAAAATCTACAGGCAAAGCATTATTGTCTCTTCCACTGACATCTGTCAGGTTTGGGAGACTCTTAAAGACATCTCTCTCTGTGTGTGTATCCAATGAGTATTTATAGTGACATGTGTTTACACCACAACTCCCATATTTGTGGGACCACCGTTTTATTTCCCCACATCCAACAAATGCTTTTCCTGCACAACTTCATGGTATTCTTGGGCCAGAAGTACATCATCTCTATAGTGTTCACCATATTCTATGGTGTTGCCTATCCTCACGAAGGCTAGGAATTGTCAAAAGCTTTCATGGCCAGAATCACTGGGTTGTTGTAGGTTTTTTCGGGCTATATGGCCATGGTCTAGAGGCATTCTCTCCTGATGTTTTGCCTCCATCTATGGCAAGCATCCTCAGAGGTAGTGAGGATGCTTGCCATAGATGCAGGAGAAACGTCAGGAGAGAATGCCTCTAGACCATGACCATTTAGCCCAAAAAACCTACAACAACCCAAGGCTAGGAATGTATCCCTACAGATATGGGAGTCGTAACATAATGCCTTTGATTGTCTATGTTCTACCCTTCAGTGGAAAGGGGTTCATTCACAATACAGAACTATTGCATGATTATTCCACTTAACTACCATGCCAATTTTTTATGGAATCCTGGGATTTCTAGTTCAGGAAGAGGTAGCCATCTCAGCTAGAGGACTGTAGTATTTCCTCAACTACGTATCCCAGAGTATCATCCCAGGGTAGTTAAAACATACTCTTAGTGCTACAGTTGTGTAGCGTGAAAGGGACCCTGCTTAGAGAAGCTTGATTTTAACATTCCTTGACTGGGGATTCCTTGATTGGGGAGATGGTGGCGGGGTAGAAATAAAGATTATTATTATTATTATTATTATTATTATTATTATTATTATTATTATTATTATTTCTTCCTTTCTTTGATTAGATTTGGAATGATTACAAGCTGAGGTGGGATCCGGACAAGTACGGAGGTGTTCAGTTCATTCGGGTGCCTTCCCAAAAGATCTGGAAGCCGGATATTGTATTATACAACACGTAAGGTTACGGCATTTGATGTCCCCTTAAGTAGCGTACATTGGAATAACCCTCCCTTTTACACTGACTATACACCAGGTATGGGCAAACTTGGGCCCTCCCTCCAGGTGTTTTGAACTTCAACTCCAGGTGTTTTGGATTTTCTGCTGGTTGTGAGGAATTGTGGGAGTTGTAGTCCAAAACACCCAGAGAGAGGGCCCAAGTTTGCTCGTGCCTGCTCTACACCAAAGTAATCTAGGATTCCAGTCCATGAAATTTTCAGGGACCCTTCCCAAGTGTCTGTATAGGCCTTATTTCACTGACCTGTGAAATAAAGCCACCACTTTTAATTTGTTGTCGAAGGCTTGAATGGCTGGAATCATTGAATTGCTGTGAGTTTTTCGTGCTTTATGGCCATGTTCTAGAAGCATTCTCTCCTGACGTTTCACCTGCATCCATGGTAGGCATCCTCAAAGGTTGGGAGGTCTGTTGGAAACTAGGAAAATGGGGTTTATAAATCTGTGGAAACTCCAGGGTTGGAGAAAGAACTCTTGTCTGCTGGAGGTATGTGTGAATGTTGCAGTTTGACACCTTGATTAGCATTTAATAGCCTGCACTTTCAAGGCCTGGCAGCTTCCTGTATGGGGGAATCCTTTGTTGGGAGGTGTTACCTGGCCCTGATTGTTTCTTGCCTGGAATTCCCCTGTTTTTGAGTGTTGTTCTTTGTTTACTGTCCTGATTTTAGAATTTTCGAATACTGGTAGCCAGATTTTGTTCATTTTCATTGTTTCCTCCTTTCTGTTGTAATTGTCCACATGCTTCTTGTGGATTTCAATGGCTTCTCTGTGTAGCCAGACATGGTGGTTGTGAGAGTGGTCCAGCATTTCTGTCTTCTCCAATAATAATATGCTGTGTCCAGGTTGGTTCCTCATGGGCTCAGTTATGGTTGCCTTCTCTGGTTGACTTAACCTGCAGTGCCTTTCAGGTTCCTTGATTCGTGTGTTGGTTTTCGTGGTCCCCATGAAGACTTCTTGTCCACAGCTGCATGGCATACGGCATAGGGTCAACTCCTTCAGAGGTGAGAGAATCCCTCTTGTCCTTTGCTGAACGTAGCATTTGTTGGATTTTCTCAGTGGGTCTGTAGATAGTTTGTATGTTGTGTTTCTTCATCAGCTTCCCTCTGTAATCAGTGGTTTCCTTGATGAATAGCAAGAACCCTTTTCCTCTGGGTGGATCTTTGTCTTCATTCTCATGACTTGTTCTCAGTCTTGCAGCTCTTCTGATGCCTGTGGTGGCATCTCCATTGGCCTGTAAAGCCCAGTTTAGATGGTTCCATTCACCTTGGAGGAGGTGGGCTTCGCAGATTCTCTTTGCACGCTCTGCCAGGGCTTTAATTGTGCTTCTTTTTTGACTTGGGTGACAGTTGGAGTTTTTATGTCAGTAGTTCCCTTAACATATGGTAGGAACCCTTTTCCTCTGGGGTGGATCTTTATCTTGACTCTCGTGGCTTGTTCTTGGTCTTGCAGTTCTTCTGATGTCTTAGATGGAGTCTCCATTGGCCTGTAAAATCCAGTTGAGGTGGTTCAGTTCCCCTTGGAGGAGGTGGGCTTTGCAGATTATTTTTGCACAGTCTGCCAGAGTTTGAATTGTGCTTCTGATCTGACTTGGGTGATGGTTGGAGTTTTTATGTCAGTAGTTCCCTTAACGTATGGTAGGAACGCTTTTCCTCTTGGTGGATTTTTGTCTTAACTTTCGTGGCTTGTTCTTGATCTTGGAGCTCTTCCGATGCCTGTGGTGGAGTCTCCATTTGGCCTGTAAAGCCCAGTTGAGGTGGTTCCATTCCCCTTGGAGGAGGTGGGCTTCGCAGATTCTTTTTGCACTGTCTGCCAGAGCTTGAATTGTGCTTCTGATCTGACTTGGGTGATGGTTGGAGTTTTTATGTCAGTAGTTCCCTTAACGTATGGTAGGAGCACTTTTCTTCTGGGTGGATTTTTGTTTGACTCTCGTGGCTTGTTCTTGGTCTTGCAGCTCTTCTGATGTCTGCCCCTTTTAGTCGCTGAATTATTTGGAATGGTATAATGAACCTCTTTGTTGTTGCTCCGACAGTGCCGTTGGGGACTTCCAGGCAGACGACAAAACCAAGGCCGTGCTGAATTACACTGGAAACGTCACCTGGATGCCACCTGCAATTTTTAAGAGCTCGTGCAAAATCGACGTGACCTACTTCCCATTCGACTATCAGAACTGCACGATGAAGTTTGGCTCCTGGTCCTATGAGAAAGACGAAATCGACTTAGTCCTCGTCGGCTCCACTATGAACCTCAACGACTACTGGGAAAGCGGAGAGTGGGCCATCATTAAAGCCCCAGGCTATAAGCACGACATCAAGTACAACTGCTGTGAGGCCGTCTACCCCGACATCACCTACTCCCTCTACATCAGGAGGCTGCCCTTGTTTTACACCATCAACATGATCATCCCTTGCCTCTTGATCTCTTTCTTGACGGTTCTGGTGTTCTACCTGCCTTCGGACTGTGGCGAGAAAGTCACGCTGTGCATATCGGTCCTCTTGTCCTTAACCGTCTTCCTCCTGGTGATAACCGAGACAATTCCTTCCACTTCCTTGGTGATCCCCCTGATTGGGGAGTACCTTCTTTTCACCATGATATTTGTCACCCTCTCCATCGTCATCACCGTCTTTGTGCTCAATGTGCACTACCGGACTCCCAGAACGCACACCATGCCCCGGTGGGTGAAAGCCGTCTTCCTAAACTTTCTCCCCAGGATCATGTTTATGACCAGGCCGGCCGACGAAGACGAGGAACAGGAAGAGGAGGAGGAAGAGGGCAGTCAGAAACCAACATCGCCTTACAACACGGAGCTCTCCCATTTAAGTTGCCTCGGGGCATCCTCGGAAACCAGGTGCTGCAAAGACAGCTTCCCCTGCCAAGACCTGAAGTGCGGTTGCTACCAGCACCCCCATATTAATTACGTCAAGGTGAACAGCAACCTGACCCAGAGCTCCAGCTCCGAATCTATAGACGCTCTGCTCTCTTCTTTGGTTATCTCGCCGGAAATGAGAGACGCAGTCGAGAGCGTCAGGTACATTGCAGAAACCATGAGGTTGCAGAACGAAGCAAAGGAGGTATGGCTGTTTTTTGTTAGTACAGTAAGAACCTCCATATATGGTGAAAAAAGGTGGAAACCTGGCTTTGTGAGCAGGCCTTCCCAAATACGGCATAGCTAAATGGAATTATGGAACTACTGATAACGCAATGGAATAATGATTTGACATGGAGACGCTCATGATAATGTCGAAGGCTTTCATGGCCAGGATCACTGGGTTGTTGTAGGTTTTTCCGGGTGTATGGCCATGTTCTAGAGGCATTTTCTCCTGACGTTTCGCCTGCATCTATGGCAAGCATCCTCAGAGGTAGTGAGGTCTGTTGGAACTAGGAAAATTGGGTTTATATAGCTGTGGAATGACCAGGGTGGGACAAAGAACTCTTGTCTACTGGAGCTAGGTGTGCATGTTTCAACTGACCACCTTGATTAGCATTTGATGTCATGGCAGTGCCTGGGGCAATCTTTTGTTGAGAGATTGTTTCCTCTCTGTTGTTTTGCTGTTGTAATTTTAGAGTTTTTTAATACTGGGAGCCAGATTTTGTTCACTTTCATGGTCTCCTCCTTTCTGTTGAAATTGTCCACATGCTTGTGGATTTCAATGGCTTCTCTGTGTAGTCTGACATGGTGGTTGTGAGAGTGGTACAGCATTTCTGTGTTCTCAAATAAGAGGAAAAATCTTCTTGCCATATTTTAAGGGAACCACTGACCGCATAGGGAAGCGGATGAGGAAACACAACATACAAACTATCTACAGACCCACCAAGAAAATCCAACCATTGCTATATTCGGCGAAGGACAAGAGGGATCCTCTCACTTCTGCAGGAGTCTACTGTATACCAAGCAGCTGTGGACAAGCTGTGGATCGACCACCAAACGCAGCAGCATTGCCCAGGCCCGAATCAAGGAACATGAAAGGCACTGCAGACTACTTAAACCAGAGAAGTCAACCATAGCAGAGCACCTGATGAACCAACCTGGACACAGCAGATTATTTGAGAACCACTCTCACAACTACCATGTCAGACTACACAGAGAAGACATTGAAGTCCATAAGAAGCACGTGGACAATTTCAACCGAAAGGAGGAAAATGAACAAAATCTGGCTACCAGTATTAAAAAAAACTCTAAAATTACAACAGCAAAACAACAGAGAGGAAACAATCAGGGACAGGTAATCACCTCTCAACAAATGATTCCCCCAGGCACTGCTAGGCCATCAAATGCTAATCAAGGTGGTCAGTTGAAACATTCACACTTCGCTCCAATAGACAGTTTTTTGTCCCACCCTGGTCATTCCACAGCTATATAAACCCAATTTTCCTAGTTCCAACAGACCTCACAACCTCTGAGGATGCTTGCCATAGATGCAGGCGAAATGTCAGGAGAGAATGCCTCTAGAACATGGCCATACACCAGGAAAAACCTACAACAACCCAGCTCATATCAATGTTTTAAGGCTTTGTACGGTTTTTATAATTTTATATCATATGCTATTGTTTTAAACCGAATTTTATGATTGTTTTTATTTGTTATAAGTGTTATGGCATTGAATTGTTGCCAATTTGTGAACTGCTGCGAGTCGCCTCTGGGCTGAGAGGGGCGGTATATAAATAGAGTAAATAAATAATTAAAATAATAATAAATATGCAGGGGATACATTCCCAGATAGACTGCAGTTACATGAACCCGATCCCCATTAAATTACCTGACTTCTGGTTCCAGTGCACTATAGAGTTGCGTTGGAGGATCTAAAGATTTCTGTTTAGCAGCCTGCTAGTTACTCCAACGCAACTTCCAAGGGAAGCATACCACAGAACGGTCTGAAGAACCTATTACATTCCTTACCATCTTATTTCCTATTGCTGAGCGGAGACATGATGGCCATGTATGAATATGTGAGGGGAAGTCCTAGGGAGGAGGGAGCAGGTTTCCTTTCTGCTGCCCTGGAGACAAGGATGCAATGGAGCCATGGCTTCAAACTACAAGAAAGGAGATTCCATCTGAACACTAGGAAGAACTTCCTGACTGTGAGAGCTATTCAGCAGTGGAACTCTCTGCCCTGGAGTATGGTGGAGGCTCCTTCTTTGGAAGCTTTTAAACAGAGGCTGGATGGCCATCTGTCAGGGGTGCTTTGAATACAATTTTCCTGTTTCTCGGCAGGGGGTTGGACTGGATGGCCCATGAGGTCTCTACCAACTTTATGATTCTATGATTCCTAAGTGCAAAGAGCTTATATCAAAACCTCATGTCCACCATAAGTCAGAAACAACCATACTTTTACTTAGGCGAACCTTCATAGCCTGAGGATGATGTCCTTCCAAGTGTAGCATCTTGGTGGTGGGTCATAGATGGCTATGGAGCCCTATTCCTGACCCGCATGTTCTTCTGCAGTTAGGACATTGGTTTCCAGGTGGAAGGTGGTCCCGGTCAGGGTTGGCTTGACGCACCTTCCTCTTGGCATGTTTCTTCCTTTCGCCCTCCATTTGTGCCTCTTTGAATTCCACAGCACTGCTGGTCACAGCTGACCTCCAGTTAGAGCACTCAAGGGCCAGGGCTTCCCATTTCTCCATGTGTATGCCACAGTTTTTAAGGTTGTGCTATATGCAAGATAATTGTTTCAAGTGATATTTTAGTCTATGTCAATGCCTCCTGAATTGATATAGATGTCCGCTTTTGTTTTTCTAGACTCAAGATGACTGGAAATACGTCGCCATGGTAATTGACCGAATTTTCCTGTGGGTATTTATCCTCGTGTGCATTCTGGGAACCGCTGGATTGTTTTTGCAACCGTTGCTGATCGGAGACGAAGTGTAAACAAGGCTGCTCTGAAAAAAAAATGCAATTTCTCGTTTGCTGTTCAAATGCTGTCCCTGTTCTCTCTCTTTGTGTTAAAGGACTTCTTTCCATCTCTTTGTGTCATGGAATCAAGGGTGCCTGAGCATTCATTGAGCTGGACGCAGGGCAAGAACACAACTGACGGCGTTACACTATGTGACACCATTTTTGTTCCTGGGTTGCAAATGTCATTTCCTAATTGGTTCTATCATAACAACATGGGAAAAGTTTTGTAAACTTCAAAAACTTTGTTTCTGCGGGAAGGACATCCTGCAGCACATTTTGAAATAGTTTCAGATTTTGTTACATAGTGTAATTTGTGTGTATATTGTATCAGAATGAAGGATTTTACATGTTCAAGAAGACTGCAAGTGTTTTCTCACTTTTTTCTAGAATAGTTCAGTGTTTAAAGGACTTGTACCGAGTGGTTGTTACTATGCCTTAAAGTAATGCAAATGTATACTTTTGATCTATTGCGCCAACCCAAACATGGATATTGTATTAGGACAGCAAAGAAAGTCACTTTAATGCCAATATGACACTATTAAGATCCTCTCAGAATAGAAGATGTCATTTCAATTGTCTATAATTTGGAAATAATATGCGAAGGAGAGTTATAGATCTCTTAGACAAGACTTGAAAGGAAGATCTGAAATAGATCTGAGATTTAGCAGACAGCTATGTTCCCAAAGATGTAAATGATATGACCCCCATATCAATTTCCAACTGGACTAGAGTTGTGTTGTCGAAGGCTTTATGGCCAGAATCACTGGGTTGCTGTGAGTTTTCTGGGCTGTCTGGCTAGATACATTATATTGCTCTCACACCCAGTGTTTTTAAACTTTTAATCCTTGCAACAGGCCCTGCCCACTATGATTAATTCTCTGCGTTATTGTGATTTTATATTGTATGATGTGTTTATTTATAATGTTTCTTGTATTTTATTTTATTTTTATATTTTTATTGTTGTATTCTCACGTTGTACATTTGCATTGTTGTGCTGCCGGGCTTGGCCTCATGTAAGCTGCCCTGAGTCCCCTTGGGGAGATGGTGGCGGGGTATAAATAAATAAATTATTATTATTATTATTATTATTATTATTATTATTATTATTTGAAACACAACAAGATGAGTCCACAGCAGACACTCTGCTGGCTGTTGAATTGGGTCACACGTCGGACCCTTCCCAAGTGTCTAGGACTGTGTGATGTATCGGAGAATAATGTCTGCAGATCCCAGTAAGGTGGCCTTTTGCAGCTGACAAGTGGTGACTTTGTCAGCGTTGATTGTGTTTAAGTGCAGGCCAAGGTCTTTAGGCACTGCACCCAGTGTGCCGATCACCACTGGGACCACCTTTACTGGTTTGTGCCAGAGTCTTTGCAGTTTGATCTTTAAATCCTCATATCATGTCCGCTTTTCTAGTTGTTTCTCTTCAATCCTGCTGTTGCCTGGGATTGCGACATCGATCCATACTTTGCTTTTTAACACCTTTGTGAGGTCAGGAATGTTGTGCTCCAAAACTGTCTGTCTGAATCCGGAAGTCTCAGAGGAGTTTGGCATGTTCATTCTCTGTAACTTTTTCCGGCTTGTGATCCCACCAGTTCTTTGTAGAAGGCAGATGGTGTTTGTGGCACAAGTTCTAATGAATCATCTGAGCAATGGTGTTGTGCCTCTGCTTGTAGTCTGTCTGTGCGATCTTCTTGCAGCAGCTGAAGATGGGATCTATTGTTTCACCTGCTTCCTTGCAGAGTCTACACTTGGGATCTGTCGTCAACTTTTCAATTCTGGCTTGGATGGCATTGGTTCGAATGGTTTGTTCTTTGGCTGCCAGAATCAAGCCCTCCTTTGTCTCCTTTTTCAGACTTCCATTTGTGAGCCACAGCCATGCTTTTTCTTTGTCAATTTGGCTCTTAAATTTTCCCAGGAACTGTCCATGGAGAGCCTACTTTGGCCAGTTTTCTCTTCTGCTCCAGATTGTGTTTTTACAGTATTCCCTCTTTGTCTTTTGCACTTGAAGCAGTTTACTACTCTTGACTTCAATGTTGGTTCTTGACTGCCTTTCACATGATCTGCCAGCGCATGTTTCTCTTCTTCTACCATTTGTTCTACTTGCAGAAGCCCTCTCTCTGCCTCCTGATTTTCTGGGCCGGTCAAGTCTGTCGACATCACTACGTGGGTGTAATGAGTAGTTGATTGTCATCAATTTCCTTGTTTTCTGTCCAGATCATCCAGCTCTGCTTGTGCCCAGTTCACAATCCCAGGAGTATCTAATGATGGGGATGGCCCAGGGATTGAGAGCCTTGATCGTATTTCCGCCATTTAATTTGCTCTTCCAAACCTTTCTGACTCTTTGGATATATTCTTTGCTGACCACATTTTTCACTTGTTGTTGTTGTTGTTGTTGTTATGTTCCAGAAGCATTCCCTCATGACCTTCCGCCCACATCTATGGCAGGCATCCTCAGAGATTGTGAGGTCTGGCAAGTAAGGTTTATATACCTGTGGAATAATGCCCAGGGTGGAAGAAAGATCTCTCACCTGTGTGAGACCAATGTGAATATTGCAGTTGGCCAGCCTGATTAACACTGAATAGCCTCTCAACTTCAAAGCATGATTGCTTCCTGCCTGGGGGAATCCTTTGTTGGGAGATGTTAGCTGGCCCTGATTGTTTCCTGTCTGGAATTCCCGTTTTCTTAGTATTCTTTATTTCCTCTCCTGATTTTAGAGTTTTTTAATACCAGAAACCAGATTGTGTTCATTTTCATGGTTTGCTCCTTTCTGTTGAATTTGTCCACATGCTTCTTGTGGATTTCAATGGCTTCTCTATGTAGTCTATGTTGGGCCAGCTAACACCTCCCAACAAAGGATTCCCCCAGGCAGGAAGAAGCCGGGCTTTGAAGCTGCAGGGCTATTTAATGCTAATCAAGTGGGCCAATTGCAACATTCACACTTGCCTCCAGCAGACAAGAGTTCTTTTCTCACACCCTGGACATTCCATAGATATATAAACCCCACTTGCCTAGTTTCCAACAGATGTCACAACCTCTGAGGATGCCTGCCATAGATGTGGGTGAAACATCAGGAGAAAATGCTTCTGGAACATGGCCAGACAGCCCAGAAAACTCACAGCAACCCAGTGGACTACAGTTGCTTAAAACTGCAGATATAACCAAATACCATTAAATTACCTGATGTCTGGCCTCAGCACACCATTAGAAGACCTAGAGATTCCTAGGGAAGTATTCCTAGGGAGTTATCTCTCACAAAAGTGTGTTAGTACTGGTTACTATATCATGCTACAAAGCAGTACTTATTAAACCTCATCATATAGGATTTTCCCCACTTTTGTTCTTAGAATCCTAGAGTTGGAAGAGAACTGGTGAGCCATCCAATCCAACCCCATTCTGCCAAGAAGCAGGAAAATCTCATTCAAAGCACCCCTGACAGATGGCCATCCGGCCTCTGTTTAAAAGCCTCCAAAGAAGGGGCCTCCACCACACTACGGGGCAAAGAGTTCCACTGCTGAACAGCTCTCACAGTCAGGAAGTTCTTCCTAATGTTCAGGTGGAATCTCCTTTCCTGTAGTTTGAAGCCATGGCTCCATTGCGTCCTAGTCTCCAGGGCAGCGGAAAACAAGCCTGCTCCCTTCTCCCTATGACTTCCCCTCACATGGACCGTATCATGTCTCAGCCTTTTCTTCTGCAGGCTAAAAATGCTCAGCTCTTTAAGCCGCTCCTCATAGGGCTTGTTCTCCAGACCCTTGATCATTTGAGTCACCCTCCTCTGGACACATTCCAGCTTAGAGTCAACATCTCCCTTCAGTTGTGGTGCTCAGAATTGGACACAGTGGGATTCCAGGTGTGGAAAAGAATCCTAGAATCCCGGAGTTGGAAGAAACCTGGTGGGCCATCCAGTCCAACCCCATTCTGCCAAGAAGCAGGAAAATCACATTCATAGAATCATAGAATCAAAGAGTTGGAAGAGACCTCATGGGCCATCCAGTCCAACCCCCTGCCAAGAAGCAGGAATATTGCATTTAAATCACCCCTGACAGATGGCCATCCAGCCTCTGTTTAAAAGCTTCCAAAGAAGGAGCCTCCACCACACTCCGGGGCAGACAGTTCCACTGCTGAACAGCTCTCACAGTCAGGAAGTTCTTCTTCATGTTCAGATGGAATCTCCTTTCTTGTAGTTTGAAGCCATTGTTTCATGTCCTAATCTCCAGGGAAGCAGAAAACAAGCTTGCTCCCTCCTCCCTGTGGCTTCCTCTCACATATTTATACATGGATATCATATCTCCTCTCAGCCTTCTCTTCTTTAGGCTAAACATGCCCAGCTCCTTAAGCCGCTCCTCATAGGGCTTGTTCTCCAGACCCTTGATTATTTTAGTCACCCTCCTCTGGACACATTCCAGCTTGTCAATATCTCTCTTGAATTGTGGTGCCCATTCAAAGCATCCCTGACAGATGGCCATCCAGCCTGTTTAAAAGCTTCCAAAGAAGGAGCCTCCACCACGCTCCTGGGCAGATAGTTCCGCTGCTGAACGGCTCTTACAGTCAGGAAGTTCTTCCTCATGTTCAGATGGAATCTCCTTGCGTCTCCAGGGCAGCAGAAAACAAGCCTGCTCCCTCCTCCCTATAACTTCTCCTCACATGCACCTTATCATGTCTCAGCCTTCTCTTCTTCAGGATAAACATACCCAGTTCTTTAAGCTGCTCCTTATAGGGCTTGTTCTCCAGACCCTTGATCCTTAGAGTCACCCTCCTCTGGACACATTCCAGCTTAAGAGTCAACATCTCCCTTCAATTGTGGCGCTCAGAATTGGACACAGTGGGATTCCAGATGTGGAAAAGAATCACAGAATCTTAGAGTTGGAAGAGACCTGGTGGGCCATCATCCAGTCCAACCCCATTCTGCCAAGAAGCAGGAATATTGCATTCAAAGCACCCCTGATAGATGGCCATCCAGCCTCTGCTTAAAAGCCTCCAAAGGAGGATAGAATCATAGAATCATAGTTAGGAGAGACCTCATGGGCCATCCAGTCCAACCCCCTGCCAAGAAGCAGGAATATTGCATTCAAATCACCTCTGACAGATGGCCATCCAGCCTCTGTTTAAAAGCCTCCAAAAGAGGAGCGTCCACCACACTCCGGGGCAGAGAGTTCCACTGCTGAACGGCTCTCACAGTCAAGAAGTTCTTCCTAATGTTCAGATGGAATCTCCTTTCTTGTAGTTTGAAGCCACTGTTCTGTGTCCTAACCCTCCACCACTACCCAGTAACTCACCTTGGAACTTATTCAGTAGCTCGTAGACTGTGACCATCACCTTGAGAAATAAATACGTTACTGCATTTTATTTAATAAATTTGCCACCCCAAAAAGGTGGCAGATTTTCAGATGGTTTAAAATTTTTACCACTGCTGTCTATTTATTTAGCCACATTCTAGTCAAGCTGTCTACGGACAAGTGACCAGATGAAGAAAGACGCTGGTGAAATGAGAGAAGAATACAAACATTTGGACAAATATGAAGCAGCACTGGACATTAACAAACAGGGTCCAGCTTTTGAGAAAAGGACAACTATTTTTTTTAAATGCAACCAATTTTCAAGAGGTTTATTCAGAATCATCAACTATTGTACTATTTATCCAGAATCTTTCAGTACAGTATTCTTCGTACAAAAAATAAACTGATTTGTTGTTACTAATGTCTCTGTGTTTTCTGGTCCTGGTTGTGTCACAAACTGTTAAAAAAAACTGAGGTGCACAACATGGGGAAGGGCTTAAAATCAGCTAGGATGGCTAGCAGTCATGTGTACGCAAACCAAAAGTAAGAAAAGGAAAAATATATAATATTCAACAGAAGACTTAGATCAGTTTGATCACA